TACGTGCCCTCGCCAAGCTCCAGGACGATCAAAGAACTAATCAGGACGAATCGCCGGCCCTGGAGAAAGGGTCTGGACTTCCAGCCCGCATGGAACGACACAAGATTTCGAATGTCTGGGGAAGCCTCTTGGGCGTTTTACAGGAAGAACCAGCGTACCATGCTCGGGCAGAAGGCGAGAGACGCAGACGGAAGTCGAGACATCGCAAGGTGCAGCCGTCCTGCTACCACCTCATTCACACGATACCGAGCCACTGGGAACAAAAATGCGGCAAGGAGAGTGCACAGGGACAAAGCCCAGCAACGTTTGAATATCTGTGAAACTCGCCTGCTTCCCAAAGGATTGGACAAGGAGCCCCTCAATGCTGAAACCGGCCAGGGGCCGCACTCGAACGCTCCCTTCTGCAACGTTTGTCCGGCGTCCTTCTCGCAAGCCGCAGCTGAGAACCATTGAGTATGCCATCGGCAACTTGGAGAATCGACGTGTGCAGCACCGCTCAAAACACACGACAAGCTGGACTGCTCGGGGCGCTACTGAGGAAGCGACAAGCGCGCGGGGATGCAGTCAAAACCGATAGCGAGGCTGCAAGATGTAGGGATCTTGAGGGCCACGCCGACACTTCTCGAGCGGGGTTGCGGCCCGCGAAAGTGGCCAAGGATGGGCCGAAGGGAAAGGATGCGAGGGAAACCTTGGAAAGGCGCTCCTCCGTGCTATCAGCGTTGACACAGAGGCTTAAGCGCGGAGAAGCGACGAAAAGCGAAAACACAGCAGAGGGGTCGTATGGGGCGTCCGAGCGCCCCATGCGGGGCCGACCGACCACCCCCGACGCTGCCATCATGCAGCGACCCATCGCCAGCAGACTATCCGCCAGAATAGATGCGTGCGACATCTACAGTCAAAACTGTTGGCAAAGATGCGCGGTGAAGGTGCAAGCCCCTTGGACGCGCATGTCGAAACTTCTCGAGAGGGGCTGGCCGTAGCAAGCGGTCAAGGCCGGACCGAGGAGGCAAAGACGCAAGGGTACCCTTGGGGAGGTGACCCATCCTCACTGCTGGTTTTGAATGTATCCCATTCTGCATCATCCTCACCTTCGTCGAGATCCTCACCACAGCCGGATGCGGCTCCGCAAACGGGCCAGGACGGCCCCTGGGGGGGGCTCGGTAGAGAGACCTCCGGGACGTCTGGGAACCTCTGGGGGCACCTGGAGACATCAAAAGACCTCTTGGCGTCGTCGTCGACGCCCTCTGGTCAAGAGGAGGAGAGTTCGAGGAGGTCTTCTAAAGTTTTCTGGGAGGCCTGAGAATATCCAGCAGGTCCCAGGACATCTAAGGGGGGGAAAGGACGTGGAGCCTGACTCCGGGGCGCCTGGACACTGGTGGCCTTTTCGCCTTCTGGCCAACCCAGCATCCCTCCTGCTCAGCCTCCTCCTCCTCCTCCTCCTCTTCCTTCCAGAGGTGGTGTATCAGGTAGGAGCTCGCAGCCATGCCTCTCGCACCAACAGACATGACGCCAGGGCGGGCCGAGCGTTTCGTCTGAAGTCTACTTGCCATCCCACCAGCCCTCTGGGCGTAGGTGGCTCAAAAAGCTCGCCTTGCTAACCCCATGATTCCCCCTCGGGAACGGTGTTGTCACTGCTCCTGATGAATATCCACACCCTGCTACATTCTACCAGCCCCGTAACAAGTGCGCCCTCTGGGCGTCTCTACAGCTGCAAACAACAGCGGCACGAACTCGAGCGAGACTTCTCCAAGCATCATGAGCAGACAACTAATACTGTTCAACAGATGCACGGGTGGAGCGAGGACGGCCCCTCTTCAAACCGATGCTCTCGATTGGAACTCCCGAGAGCTTGTGCTGACCAGGCGCAGAACTTTCAATAGATTCGCACGGGGTGGGGGCGGCGATTCCGCAAATTCAGCAGATCGGGAAATCGGGATTTCAGATACATTCAGCAAATCGGGACTTTCGCTGGGCATTCCCTGTGAGTCTGTGATCCTGTCGCGCCGCCGCTCTTGTGGCTAGAGGCGTGGACGGCAACCCCTTTTCAAAGAAGGGGCTCCCGTCGGAATGTAGGACGAGAAGAATGTATTGACACAGTGTGTTATTGATACGTTCCGGGGATTCCGGGATTTCTAACAGCCTTCGCGCGGGGTGCGCTTTGCGTCGAGCATTGTCTGCTCTGCCTGGCCCCGCTGGTCGGTCACCCGTTCGCAATCGAATACGGGGCTCCAATCGGAACTGCAGGACCACGGGGCGCTCGTCTTTCGAGGGGAGCGCTGCCCGCCGGGGAGAGAGGCTCGCTGTGTGGCGGGGCTGGGGAGGGGCAAGGGCCTAGGACGGGCGGACCTATTGCTGAGTCGTCAACGCGTCCTGCGTTTACTGTGGTCCTCCTCCTCATGTTCCGTTTCCTCCTCCTCCTCTTCCTCCTCCTCCCCTTATTATTATCATGTCCCGTCTTAGTATTATTAGTGTTATTACTCGTATGTTTATGGTTAGCCCTCCTCGTAGAATTAGTATTAGTACTCTTACAAGTAATATTAGTCGTATGTTCCTTCTTTGTATTGGTATTATGAATATTAGTAGTATTAGTATTATTAGTATGGTTACAATTATGTGTGCATGTTCTTCTTATTAGTATTCGCACTCTTCTTCTGAATAGTATTATTGCTCGTCGTCGTAGTCTTCTTCGTTTTCATAATATTATTCGTATGCTATGTTCATATTTACAGCCATGCCATTCGTATTATAAATAGAAGTACTAGTAGTGTATATGAGTATTATTGATATTACTTTTCTTCTTAATATTACCAGCATGATCATTAGTAGTGGTATTGTTTCTCCTTACTATCGGAATTATTAGTTGTCTGTTTATTATTAGTGATGGTACTAGTATTATTGTTATTAGTGTTCGTCATACTAGTATTAATAGTCGTATGATGTATGATTATTATGTGTAGTATCATTGTTCAAATAAGTATTCTGCGATTACTACTACTACTACTACTACTACTACTACTACTACTACTACTACTTACTACTACTTGCTACTAGTTACTACTACTTACTACTACTTACTACTACTACTACTACTACTACTACTACTACTACTACTACTACTACTACTACTACTACTACTACTACTACTACTAATAATACTACTACTACTACTACTACGACGACTACTATTGTACTATTGTTATTATGCGTCCTAGCATTGTTATGGCTAATATTACTATCAACTGTACTGGCTTGATAGTTATTCATCTAATTGCTGTAATTGTTCGTAGTGTTATTAGAAGCATTTGTATTATTCGCGTGATTCGTCTGATCATTCTGCTCATTCGTGTTTTTTTTATAAATATTGGTAGTATCATGCGTCTTAGTATTATCACAACTACGACTAGTGTTAGTACTATGTTGGCTCGTCTTGCTCGCCTGCTTATTCGACGCATCCTTCTGCGTGGCATCAGTATGCTCAATATTCTTAGTAATGTAGTAATGTGATTAATACTACGATTATTATTATGAATAATGATAATATTCCTCCTCCTCCTCCTGCCCATGCTCCTCCTCCTCCTCCTCCTCCTCCTCCTCCGCCTCCACCTCCGCCTCCGCCTCCGCCTCCGCCTCCGCTTCCGCCTCCGCCTCCGCCTCCGCCTCCGCTTCCGCCCCCGCCTCCGCCCCCGCCTCCTATTCCTCTTCCTCCTCCTCCTCCTCCTCCTGCGGCTGCATCCTACTCCTCCTCTTCCTCACTAATAATCTCCTATCGACCTACCTCCTCCTCATCTTTCTCACTACCTCCTCCTCCGCCTCTTACTCCTCTTCCTCCTCCTCCTCCTCCTCCTCCTCCTCCTGCTCCTCCTCCTCCTCCGCTCAAGCCACTTGGACCCAAACCAGTGTGGCAGGTGTCCAAGCCTCGACCCCGCCACGACGGGGCTTGAGGGGCAAGCCGTCTCTCCCATCAGTTCGGGTCCTTTCCGACAGTCTGGTAAGCGATCGGCTTGGCAAAATCGAGGGTGTTGTTGATGGCGGCGAAGGCGACTCCACGGCCTTGGAGTCAGTGCGCAAGGTGCTCTACCTACGAATGGAACGATGTGTTCGTCTCACGTTCGTGTGTGTGTGCGTGCGCTCGATGTAACCGGCCCGTCAAAGTCTTCAAGCCCAAGTTGAAGAAGGGAGGTGTCGGCGGTGACAACAAACCAGACCAGCAGCTCGTGGTCAGTTTCAAGAGTTCAAGGGCTCGGGCAAGGGCGCAGGCGGCGGCAAACGCGCGGCGACGCCCGCCGAGACAGCAGCTGATGCGAAGGCCAGGCTTATGCTTCTCATCGAGGGCACGCAGGACTTGCAGATCAAAGCGAAGTTGCTCGAACAGCTCGAAGTCGGCGGCAAGCCAGCAGGACCCACAGCTCCCAAACTGACGCCAGAGGAGGCGCTCAGGCGAGCGGACGGAGCCTGGAAGAACGCCAGCACACGACATGATCAAGAAATTGCGCAGGTCCTGAAGTGCCACGAGGCATTCCAGAGGGCCGATGAGAAGGAGATGATGGTCAAAGAGGTCGCGGCGGCGGAGATCTGCAAGAAGCTCGAAATGCGCGCTTGGGCGCGCGAGGCGGGAATGCCGGCGAAGAGCTCCGAGTCCAAGGGCGGCGAGGACAGCGACGCCAAGGCGGCGCCGTGGCAGCTCCAATGGGACGAGGAGTGGTTTGCCAACATCGATGAGCACGAGTGCGAGAAGCATGAGAAGGAGGAGCTTCTCAAGCTCGAAGCCGAGCTTCGGGAGGCCCTCGACTCGCTCACGGCCCAAGGTTCCCAGGTCGAGGAGTGGAAGCAGCGGGCCACGAAGATGCAGGGGGAGGCCACCGAGCGTCTCAAGAAGAAGAAGAGGAAGGGCGCTAGCGGCACAGCAGCAGCGGATGGATTCGAAGTCGCAGCACCGCCAGGAGACGCTCCACAGGCAGGCGCAGCGGCGCCGTCTTCAGGATCTACGGGATCGTCGGGCG